GAATTTTGAGAATGATGAGGGCAACAAATGGGTGCTTTACACAATCGATGTATGTATGGATTGTGATGAATTGTATGAGCGCCAATAAAGTGATTAAAAAAACAATTTAGCCCCCCCCCCCACAGACACCTAAGTCCGTACATAAAATGTGAGGACTAAACTAAAAAACTTACAAACGCTTTTTAAACATAGAAGATCTGAAAGTCAGAAATGTTAAAACCTATCCAATGTCATAGAATTAGACCCTTTCTTCTGACTCAGAATTCTGTTAATCTGTAGGAACTGACTTCTTGCCTAGATGACCAACTGCAAATATTTTTAGCACACTGGTCTCACTTTTCTTCTTTACAACCGGAAGGGTACCCACCTCTCTGGACGCAGGCAAAGGTGCCTGTGGCAAAGGAATTACTTTATACACCAACTGATCCACTGAAAGGTGACCCTGGAGTCCTTACACAGCTACTGTAGCAGGGGATATAACTAAGACTGGAAAAGTGACGGCCCGCGAGAATACACTGGGCTCTAACACCGCAGGCAAGGGTTCCGGATTTGGCAGGACCCCGGTAGCACCTGAGAGGGTGCCAGGGGCCTGCCCCAATTTGTCAATACTAACGCGCCAAGAAGGAGTTCTACCAACGTGCCTGCTCAGAACCGCAAAGGGGCCGCGACCCGACTTGTCCCTCCCGGGTCCCTCTTTCCGGGAAGCACCACTTCTCGGTCTTGGGCAGGGAATGTGACCTCGCGGGGCATGTGACAGGGTAAAAGCTGTCCAGGTGTCCCTCCTGCCAGGGACTGCAGGGGTCACAGTCGGACAACAGGGGGCCCAAGTGATAACCTGCTGGCGGAGTCCAACCCGCCCCCCTCCACCGGATCCCTGAAAGGGGGAACATGGCCCAACTCTCCAAGGGCGACCCCGGGAAGGTTTGAGGTGCTCAGAAAAGGGGGCCCGGGGTTTGCCGGGGCGTGTGTGGGTCCTGGGTGCCGGCGGGAAGCCGGAGTCCCAGTCCGCCCAGGCGGACAGAAGGCACTGGCGCGGCCCAGTCCTAGAGAATACGCCTAGCAGACGGGCCCAGGGGCAGGGCGGCCGCCGGGATTCTGGTCGTTTCCTCCGCACCAGCGCCAGCCCCTGCCCGGGCCCTAGCAGGGGTCTCGGACGCCACGGCGCCCCCCAACGCCCTTCCGCGTTCCTCACCGTCTCCATCGCGAGAAGCGCCGGCCACTTTCCGCTCGGGGAAGCGGGCTATGCGCAGGCCCCGCCCCACGCGGCCACTTCCGCCGCGCGACGGCAGCCGCCCGGAAGCGGCGCAAGGCGGGAACCCGCCCTTCCGCCGGCGGCACCGCCCTCCTCGGGGTCCTCGCGGACTCACAGGCCCTGGCCCGCGGCGAGGACGATGGGACGGAGTCGCTTGTATTTAAAATGTTCTTTTTTTATTTGTCGTTTAAAAACAAACTTGGAAGAAGCAAAATCCAAAACTTGCCCTTTGCCTCTCGCAACATAAATTATGTACATTTCAGAATGATCGCTGATACAAAACATGCCAAAGGACAGGGGCGCTGGAAGGGAAAGGGCGCTTTAAAAAAGGGAATCATTTCATCCGTTGTTACGAAGGACAAACCTTGCTGTACAGGATACACACAACACAAAATAAGTCTTCACGGGATTCACACTGGTCAGCGATTTATTTTTTAAAAAGGGGGAGGGTCCTGGAGGTGAGGGGAGAAGACTGTCAAAGGGAAAACTGAAGATTGAGTATGTGCAAGTGTAAACCAACCCAAAATACAAACACGGGGGTGGGCAGGGGAGGGAATTCTGATGCAATTATACAGGCGGGGTACTTAAAAAAAAAAAAATCAACCAAAATTCCAACCTTGTAGCTTGGGTCTGAGTTATAGTTTATATAAAAATTAAAAACTGTATAAGGTTTCTTCACTAAAATCTACAGGACTATCGGATACCTAGCATATGCTTACAAAGTCTGCCCCATTCCCTTTTCCCAATCCCAGGGCCCAAGCCCCAACCAAAGCCTGACTCAGAAGAGCCAGGCTCACCCTCCCTGTAGGCCAGACCTTTAGCGCTTGGAAAAGGGTCATCCAATGGCTGTGGCTTTGGGGGCAACAGCCCAGTCTCCCCACTGTCTGATTTAATGACGGTGGTTCCTGTGTGTGTGAGGGGGAGGTGGGTGGGTGTTACTCTCTTAAACATTTGCAGCTTGAAATAGTTGAGGAAGCAGCTTAAACAAAACAAAAAACCTCCCTACCCCCATCAATCCACAACCCCCCAAATTCAAAAAACAAAACAAAAACAAACCTAAAATCACAACAGCAACTGACCGTGCCCTCCCTCCAGCAGGCCTGCCCATCCACTGCCACCAAGCCCACCCTACACACTCCAGACATTTGATTCTTGAAGAGTAAATTACAAAATGCCCTTTGCCCACAGCCCCTAGGAGAGAACTGCATATAAGCTTCATCTTCACCCCGTGGTGGCTCCCTACCAGTGAGGGATGTGGGGCCTCACTCACCCACCCCCTGCTTACCCCTATCCACCAGGAAGAGGTTCAACTGCAGCACAAGCTTGGGCGGAAAGGGGAGGAAGAAGGGGGCAGGGGACCCATCACCCTCTGGCTCCCCCTGGGGCCAGCTCACTTTTGTGCGTTATAACGTAGTCCAACTATACATCAGGGGGTGGGAACCACCCAGCCTTGATACCCCCACCTTACAGCAGTCACAAGCCAGGGGTGGGGAAGGGTGGGGAGTAAGGAAAAGGGCGGTAGGTTGGGTAATGGAGGTGGCCCCCCCACAAGGGGAGCTCCATGTGTCCGCCCCATTCCCCCCTACCATTTATAAACTGGTTTTGTAAAAAGAAAATAGATATATTTATATAGAATATATAAAGCACAAAAATTAGTAGTTTTACATTTGCTCTCCCCGGGGGTGGGGGGAGAGGGGAGGGTTCTCACCTCCAGCCGGCTCCCCCATGCCCCACAAGACTATGTACAATCCCATGTATAAATAGATAAATACCCCCCACCCTCCCCGCGCTGACACTAAGCTCCCCCCCGCCCCCACGTCACCACCCCTTCCCACCAGACCAGCAGCAGTTTGGTGACTGAGGGAAAGGTGGGAGCTCCGGGCCACACCCTGCCTCACTGGGTACGGGCATGCCACTCAGGGACAGCCCTCACCCTGGCCCCGCCCGCCCGCCCCATCCAGGGGTTAGAGGGCAAATGGGCTCATGATGGGGCTGAATTAATGGGAGAGACAACCTGGTCCTAGGTTAGCACAGCCCTCCTGCCCCCATGTGCAGAAGGAGAAGGAAGTCCTAGAGCAACCAGGGGCCAGCCATCCCCAGTCTTCCTCTTCCTCAGCCACAGCCACCACCCCATGCCCAGAATTAAAAACAAAGATGAGTTTTTTGTTGTTGTTTTTTTCTTCCTCTTCTGACCCGCCCTTCCACCCACTCAGAAGAGGGCAGTGAGGTGGGGGAGAGGGTTGGGGCAGTAGGGGGCTTGGAGAGGGTCTCACATTTCAAAACAGCAAAAAATCCAACACTTAAATGAGGTAGGTGTGGGTGCGGGGTCTCCTTGCCCGGCTTGCCTGGCTTGCCCTCGTGGGCAGCTGGGCACCTCTTTCCCGTTCATGTTGCATTTGTCAGAGTGGAAAACAAGGAAACACAACCCACAGAGAGACGGAAACACAGAGGAGAAGAGGGAGACAGAGACAGATCAAGAGGGAAGGGGAGAGGGGTGAGGGTGGGGGCAGGACCCGGCAGGCAGGGCCAGGTGTGGGACCCAGCCTTTGGGATTGTCAAGCTTAGTCAAGTCTCTTTGCAGCCATGAGTTGGGCCGGAGAGGTCGGTGGGAGCAGCAGGGCTGTGAGGCCCAACCACACATCCTCCTCCCCCTCCCTGCTGCCTCCCAGACGCTTCTGGGTAGTTCCCGGCCCGTATCCCCCTCAAACCTGAGATGCCCAGTGGCTGCTTCTGTCCGGCCCCTCCTGGAGCTGGGGGCAGAGATGCCAGCCGAGGGGCTGGTGGCGGGGAAGAGGGTTGTCCCTGGTGCCCAGGGTGGGCTTGGCCTAGGGCCCTCTGCCCCAGCCTCCTGCTCCAGGGGCTCCGGTCAGCCAGCAGCCCCAGCCCTGGGTCCTGGCTCTGGCTGCTACCGCTCTTCCCCCTCGTCCCTTTCAGGGAAGAGGTGGGGGATGGGGGGCCTCCCCTGCCTGGTAGCCTCAAAGCTTCTTAGTTCATCCATTTCCGACAATTCCAGGCTCCACAGTGACAGGGGATCTTGTGCTGATCGTCCTCAAAGTCAAACTGATAGTCATAGGTCAGCTGGAAAGAGAAGAGGGCAGTCGATGTCAAGTCCCCAGAGAAGGGCAGCGGACAGAGTAGCTCTGAGCTGAGGCTGGTGGACGAGAAGCGGAGTGGAGGGGGGGGGGAGCAGGGCACTCAGGATGCTTCCCCTCACCTCCTCTCCTTTGGGGATTCGCCGGCTGGAGATGATGATGATTTTGTCCTCTTTGTCAAACGTCACAACTTCGGCCACACAATTAGGGGCACAGGAATGGTTAATGTACCTGGTCGGTGGGAGAGTTGGGATGATTTGGGTTCCTGGGTGGGCCATACCCCGAGCCCCTTAAGTCCTTCTTCCTGCATTTGTCCCTCACCTGGCCGGGCCTCCAGTCAAGGTCGCATCAATCACGTGCTCATTGTTTATCCGGAACATGTAGATGCCTCGGTTCTGGAGAGGAACAGAAGGTAGAAGATGGGGCAGGGGTTCAAGAGAGCGGCAGCAGCGGGGCTGGGATCCAGCTGCTCAGCAGAGGTCAGCAGCCTGACCCACGCACGAGGGCCCTTCTGCCAACCCCTACCTGCTCTTCATAGATTTTCTCCCGCCGGTTGGCCACCTCGTTGCGGATGATGGTGCCGATGTACTCGATGACCATTGTGTGCTTCTCTAGGTCCTTGGCAGCATAAAGCCCCAAGCCCTGGATCCGGGAGCGAGCCAGGTAGACGTTGTTCTTCCACTCGGTACGCAGGCGCCGGTATTGGGATGACTTGGAGTGCACGAACTGCTTGCTGTATGGGGTGCTGCTCTCGCCTGTGAAGGTGCTCTGGTAGGCCTTGGACATGCTGGTGCTGTTCAGGGTGTGGGGCCTGGGAGGTGACACAGTCCATGACAAGCCTACTCTCCTTCTGAGCAGCTGCACCCCACCCGCCTCCTCCCTGGGACGTGCGCACCCCAGTTAGATGTGCATGCTGCCGGCAAGCATCCGAAGTGCTGCCTTGGAAATGGAGGGGAGGCACCTGGGTCCCTGCTTTGGTGAGGTAGCGACTAGCTACTGGTGTGTGTGTGTGTGTGTGAGAAGGGGGGGTGCCCCAAAGAGCCCAGGTGGGGGTGGGCACAAAGGAAGAGGGAAGCACAATTCCCCTACACTGAGCCTGCTCTCCCCAGCCCCCTGCCTCTTACCACCCTCCTGCCACACCACGCTCAAGGCCATGGTCCTCAGCGAGCCTTCCCCAGCAGCCCGGGGCTGGATTTAAGCTGAGTTTGTTCAAAGCCCTGCTTCCTGCACACCCAGGAACCCCTAACAGGGACCCAGTTTGAGCTGGAATTGGCTATGAATTCACACCTGAAGGTGGCGCCCTTCCTGCCTCCAGACTGCCCCTTCTGCCATCCCTCAGACTGCAGGCAGCTCAGTGCAGGGGAATAACGGCTGCCTGGCACCAGCCCAATTCTTACCCATCCCAGAGCAGTGGTTTTCAAACGTTTGGGTTTTGTTTCTTTTTTGCTCTTTAAAACTGTAGTCGAAATCTTTGGTTGGTTGGTTGGTTTGGTTGTTTCCTTAGACAAAATGTTAATCGGAACTCTGCACAAATGGAGTCCCTTGGGTTGAACCCAATTGGGGAAGGGGGCTGAAGGAAGGGGCGCGAGGTTTGCCCACTCAGTCTGTGTTCCAGGGCTTTCTGGAACACACACACACACACACACACACACACACACACACACACACACACACACAATTTGAAAACCACTGCTGCTGAGCATTAAGGGCTCGGGGAGCCTAAGGGTAGAGTTTCTGCTGCTCGACGGCAGTCTCAGGGCAGCCAGAGGATTTTCCGAGCGAGCCTTGCCGCCACGGCCTCTGCCTCCCTCTGCCCAGGGAACCAGGCGACGCCCAGTGGAGCACAGACCAACAGCGAGTGTGCCACTGTCAGCAGGCAAGCTTCTGGGCCCAGCAGCGTGACCTTGGTGTAGTCACTTCACCTTTCTAGGCCTCAGTTTTCTCAGCTGTAAAATGGGGGGTCATACCACCTGCCCTACCTACCTCATAAGGTTGTTGTGAGGATCAAATGAGATAATGGATGTGAAAACGCTTTGAAAAAAAAAGTATAAAGTGCTATACAAATGTCAGGCTTTATTATTTTTTCTATCATATTCAAATTATTTCTTTTGTGATATCAACTCAATTCAGCCTGGGGCAGGGAAGGTGACCCTAGCTCTCATGGTTTGGGAAAATGAAGGCCCCACCCCTAGAAGCAAAAGAGGAGAGGGAAGAGGTAAACTGGGTCCCTCAGGCGTTTCATACCATTTCACCACTGTCTACCCAGAGCCTCCCCAACACCCAGCCCCAGCGTGCCCAAGAGAAAGCTGTCCTGCATCCCAGGCCTCCTGAACACCTACCCTCATGATACTTGGCACCCTCTAAACAGGAGGCCTACGAATGACTCCCCAGCCTCTCCAAGGAAACGGATCTGTACCCCAAACTCTCCTACAGTGGTTGGCCAGGTCTTACCAACGCCCACATCCCCTGGTCCCAGTCCCCAAGCTCACCGTTTGTAGTGTGTGAGGATTTTAGGCTCCGATCGGGCACAGCCAGTGGGATTGATCATGAGTGGCAGCTCCATCAGGGGGTGGCGCCCATAGCGGAATAAATAGTTTTGACAGCTCTCCACCCCAGGCAGCTGTGGGCACAAGCCATGCTCACCTCAGCCTGCACTCTTTTAAGGCAGGAAGAACCAAAGCTCCCAGGGCCCTCGCTCGGCCTGCCCCCAGCCCCTGCCTTACTGATTCAGCTATGCGAAGCACGGCATGCACCGTCAGCCCGAAGAGCTCCTCGCCCTTCAGGTACTCTGGGAAGAGCCTCAGCATGTCAGCCTCTTTTCGCATGGCAGCCACGGGCTCGATGATGCGATTCCACACCGCTGAAAGGCAAGAAAGAGCAGCCATCAGAGGCCATTTCCCCTCCCTGACCTCTTGCTCCGAGCCCTGAGCCTTCACACCTCCCGGTGACGACGGTGGCTCTTCACCATCCTCTCTTGGTCTCTTAGTTCCACCCTCCCTCCACAACCAGGAGGCTCCTCAATGCTGGAGGTGACCAGGAACACAAGGCCCAGGACATCTGCACTGATGCCAGGCTCCTGGCTTCTAGAGGCCAGTACTGGCCAGGGGACCTTGTCCCAAAGCCTTCGGTCATCTTCCAGATGCAGGTTCTTCCTATACATGCTGGGTACAACAGCGCTTACCTCCTAGGGCTAGATGACTACAATCACCTACTCATAGCACTTTATTTTACTGATGAACCTACAGGGATACATAATTTTGTGACACATAATTTTACTGATGAACCTACAGGGGCAGCAAGTAGAATAAGGGTTTCAGAAGGGAGGGGGTGCGGGGTGGGGTAAAAGGGAGCTGATGTCAAGGAGTCCAGGAAGAAAAAGAATGTTTGGAAACGGACTGTGGTAGCAACTGTGCAATCCTGCTTGTCGTGACTGGACTATGGAATGATATATTATGTATTCACTCCCAATTAATAGTAAATTAAATGATATATTATGTATTCACTCCCAATTAATAATAAATTAAAAACAACAACAAAACGCTATCTGCTCTTATTGTTATTTTTATCATTAAAACTAAAAACTTCAGATTTAAAGAATGCTGTCTAGGCACAGAAATGACCCGAATGGCTAGGATCAGGTTGGGCAAATCAGATGACAGGGCGCCAGAACTGTGTCCCTTAGCTCCACTAAGGACAAAAAGAGCAGCCAGACCACGTGTGGTTAGCCGGGTAAGAGATTTCCCAATACTCAGAAATCTAAGGGGATGGAAAGGCTGGGATGTCCCTGGGTACCACAGCAGTTAGGCACATAGCTGCTAACCACAGGTTGGTAGTTGAGTTCACCCAGAATGCCTTGGAGAAGGGGTCTGACAACCTAGTTCCAAAAACCCCAGCACTTCGAGAGCCCCGGAAGGCACAGCTCTGCTTGGACTCACGTGAGTTACCATGAGATGGAATCAAGCCTTGCCTTCTTTTTTTTTTTAAAAGAGAGCCTTAAGTACTTACCCTGGGGTGTCTTCATAAGACCCCTGCCTGCCTGAGTAGGGGGAGGGGACCCCACCCTCGACATGAAAGTTTTGGGGTGCTTATCGCATGATAAGGTGACCCTGAGAGAAACACGCCTGACAGCTTCATAATCCCACTTCAAAGGCTCCAGGCTCACCCTGGGGGGAGGCATCGGTGAAGACCAGGTCCTCCAGGCCCTGCTCCATGACTTTGATGATGAACTCCGGCCGCCCGTTGTTCTCGCCGATGGAGCAGCGGTAGCAGCAGCGGCGGTTGTTGGTGCGGAGGCTCCAGTAGACGCGCGTGGCCTCGTAGCCCACAGGGTAGAGAGCGGTGGCACTGTGGAAGTCAGCCATCTGGTGGGGCAGCAGCTGTCCGATGGCATGGAACACAAGCCCCCCGACACGGAACATGTGCAGCCGCTCTCCCCGCTGGATGATGCTGGCAATCTGCTTCACTTCATCCCGCTCGATGTAGACCCTCCGGAAGACTGCGAAAGAGCTCAGCTCCTGCTCGCAGGGCCCCTTGATCTTATGCATCGGACACAGCATGGTCTTATCCTTGAAGAACATGCACTTGGCGCGGATGGCACAAGCAAAATGATAGACGTTGGGGCAACGCATTCGATTGCAGCTGCTGGTGGCCCCAGTGCGCTGGCATAGGGAACACTTGGTTAGCAGCCCCCGGTGCAGGGCGACCTCCACGTTCATCAGTGCCCCGCCTTGGGTCTCGTACACCTCAGTGGACCACAGGGCACAGTTGAGGTGCACCCAGAGGTCCAGGTCCAGGTTCAGCAAGCGGGCCGGCCCATCAGTGGCCCCATCGCCCTCCTCATGGCAGAAGCAGCAGCGCCGCATGTCTCGAGGCACCTTGTCGGGCCGCAGGGCAGTGCCCAGCTGCTCCATGAACTCCGCCACTTCCCGCTCATCCTCCTGCCTTGCACTGCCCTTCTGGATGGTCAGCAGCAGCCGCAGCCGCTTCCAGCGCACCCCCTTCCACTTTTTGAGGCGAGGAGGGCGGGAATCCTCCCCTTCATCTGGGGGCCGGGCTCGGGGCTTGGGCCGGGCAGACTCTGGGGACGAGGCCGGTGGCAGAGGAGAGGGGACAGGGGGCTCAGCCAAGGGTTCGGCTGGGAGTTCAGCCAGGGGTTCTGCAAGGGGGCTGGCAGGAGAGGGGGCCATGGGAGAAGGGGGTGGGGAGGGTTCTTCAGGAGGTGGGGCTGACAGCTGTCGCACATCCAGATTGGAGACGTTGTAGGTGTAGCTGTGCTGGCTGGGTGGCTCTGGCACGGGGCTCTCCTATGGGAGGGGACCCCAGACAGTGAGTGCCAATGCCTGCCCAAATTAGCGCTCCACCTTCCACACAGCCGAGGGGGGTGGTAGGCACCTGTCCCGCCCCCTCCCCACCCAGGTTCCATTCTTCCTAAAGCCCCATCTTCTCTGCCCTTCCCCCTCACCCACCCCTGTGCCCCAGATCCACCTGTTTCAGGAGGCTCAGGATGTCTAGCTGACTCTTGAGGGTATAGCCCGGCAACACTGCATCCAACTGCTTTAGCCAATCCGGGCCGGCTTCTGGGCTCTTGCCACCCAGACCTTTTTCTTTCCCACCTGTGGAAGGAAGGAAGGAAGGAAGGGAGGAAGGGAGGGAGGGAGGGAGGGAGGAAGGAAGGAAGGAATGGGTCAGAACCCCTCACCAGAAACCACTGCCCTCATGTCCCAAGGGGCATTCCTGCCACACTCACCAGGAGCCTCAACTCCCCCCCTTTTAGGCTCAAGGCTCGCCCGCGCAGGGCTTTCTGGGAATAGCACTTCATATGAGTTGGGGATCTTCATGCTTAGCAGCTCCGCCACTGCCACCATCACACCGTTCAGGTTCTATAAGGGCAGGGATGGGGACATCAGCAGAGAGGCTGCAGGAGCTTGACAATGCCCCTCCACCCCCTACTTGGTGGGAATTAGGGCGCTCGAAACAAAGCGCCCCATCCAGCTGCCTGTCTGGCCCTGGGGCTCTCCCAGCCTGTCTCATGTGCTTCCCAAACTGCTATGGCACCAGCTAGAACACAGTGGGAAGGGTCTCCATGCTCACCGCAGCCACATCCCGGATAGCCCAAGAGGCACATCAGCACATTCCAGTATCCGAGAAGTAAGAAACCCACTGCCTTTTGCTTCGTTGTAACTGGGTTTCCCACTTCCTGTGACCATAAAACCCTGTTACCCCTGTCAAAGAGCAGAGGGAACAGAACGGCCCACCCAATGTGACCTGGGAACTGACTTGTGGCCTCTGTGGTGCCCTATTCATCAGCTGATCTGTCTGCCTTTGCCACCAACTGTCATGTTAAATAGGCCCCAGATTCCACAGCCTCTAGACCAGACCTTCACACATGGCAGGCACTCTGGACGAACCAAGGCTTGTTTTCCATCGCCCTGAGCTTCGGGGACTACCCCCTGGCTGGGGTCCCCCGGGACCCACCTTGGCTGCAGCAGCAGAGACCGTCAGCATGACCGACACCTCACTTCCTTTGCCCTTCTCCCAGGTTGTGGCAGGCAGTTTCCCAGGGGCCTCCAGGTCCAGGGTCCCATACGGTTTGGCATCTGGGAAGGCTGAATGAGAAAGAGGAAGAGTGCGTTGAGTGAGGTCCCGCTGCCTCGCTCTTCTGGCCCCACACGGTTGCAATGAAGCACCTACTTGGGATGCTGGCCCGAGGAATGATGGGGATGACTGGGGACAGGGCCCGGTCATCTTGCTCCCATCGGCAAGAGCCCAGATGAGGGAAACGAGGCGCCTCCTCTCCTAGGATGCTCTCAGGGGATGAAGCTGGCACTATGCTGTCAGGAGAATCGCTGTCCTCGTCACTCTCCATCCTATGGGCCCAAATTGGACACTGGTTTCGGCAGCTCTGGGGACTTCCCTTCCCAAATCCAGATCTGTCGGTGGCATGGCCTCATGTGAAAGCTGAGGGAAACGTTTAGAGGCAGGTCCCAGGCCTCTCATCCCCGGCCCCGCCCGCACCTGACATCCTCGGTCTGGTTGTGAGGTGGTGTGGGCAAGGCGGCCAGCAAGTCCAGACTCTTCACCTCGGAAACATCTGTGGGGCAGAGAGGGAGAGGAGCCGTCAGGGTGAGGGAGGCCAGGGCCCATGGTGCTCTCCCTCCAACACCACAGGTTATAGTTCAGCTATCATGGCCACCCCCTCTCCCAGTCTCGGGCAGACAAGTTTTGTTGGCTGAGCCTTCCTTCTGTGCAAAGTCCTGAACTTTAGCTGCCTCTTGCCAATTCAGCTTTTTATCAACTTCATTGATGACTACAACCCCCAGTTCCTAATGAGAAAATGGAGGGTCAGATATGTCACTCACGCTGTCTGCAGTGACACAGCCAAAGAAATGCGGGAGCTGGCACTCAGCCCTGCCCTGCCCTGGCTTCACCTCCACTGAAATCGGGCTGTTCCTTAGACACACAGCCTCACCGACACTCCTCCCCTCTCCCCTGTAGCTCATCACAAACCCATCCCTAAGAGGCTCTTCCTAGCCCAGCGAGCCTGCCTTGTAAGCTCACAAAGCATCGTGTAACAGACCAACTAGCTCAGACCTCAGTCATCAAAGCCTGTAAAGAAGGTGCCCACTCTTGTGCCAACTCACCCTTCAATGCCCCTTCAGTGTCTCGGGCAGAGGCGGCATCCTTGGGGTGCTCCCCCAGCTCTTCAGATGGGGTGACTCCATTCACCATCTTCTGCTGCACCGATGGGGGTGGGGTGGGGGGCAGCGACGAGGGTGGTGTCGGCGGGTTACTCAGGTTATTCTGGGGGTGGGGTGGTGTGTGCAAGATGGCATAGGGAGACGGATGTAATCTCCTGGACCCACACTCTATCAGCAGTTTCCTCGCATAATCCAACCCACCACCCCAAGAACCTCAAGGGTATTGCCATTTTTCTGACCTTGGTAAGCAGCTGGGAATAGTAGTCAGGGCCAGTAGGCAGCGCCCCACTCCCAAAGGCCCCCCTCAGCTGGCTCTGCCCACTGAGTCGAGAGCCACTGCCAAAGGGGGCAAAGAGGCTAAAATTGGCGGTGATGGTAGGCTCCGTTAGGGGCAGCAGGGACAGCTCCTAGGAGGGGCAAGATGACAAAGTTGGGACCCTACAGTAGTTGTATCGTTGCCACTGCACAGCTAGGGGCCAGGCTGCCCCCTATCCTGGAATGGGACCAGGGGACTGGCTCCTGGGGGTCACCTGTTTCAGCTGTTTCAGCAAGGCCTCGCTGGCCCTGACCCCGTCCTCCTTCCGCAGCTTCTTTCGGGAGCTCACCAACCTGTCGCTTGCCTTCTGTACTCGCTTGGGCTTCGGGGTCAATGGCTTCCTTGCTGCGGCATCCTAAGCCAGAGAAGCCCACAGTGAAGGGTACTTCTGTCTTCAGAGGCCTGGCCTCGTCTGCCTCACCCAGACCAGCTCTCCTGCCCCAGGCTCCTCTGCTCCACTTGGGCTGGAGCTCACTTACCTCCTTATTGCTGGGGGTACCCTGTAGTTTCTGCTCCAGCCCAGCCAGCTTGCTGTCAATGTGCCCGTTGATTTCAGCTCGCAGCCCCTCTGGCCCTCGCCCAGTGCCGAGCTGTACATTCTTGGCCCGCAGAAGCTTCTGCAAGAGCAGGTGTCCGGCCTCTGAGCGGGGGCCCGCCAGTAGGAGGTGGTTGCTGGTACTTGGTGCCCCAAGTGGTTCCCCATTGGCTTCCCTCTTCACTGCCTGGGCCCCCAGGGCGCAAGGCTCTTCCCGAGGCTCCTGCTTAATGCTGAGATGGGGTGGCTCGGGCACTGCCTGCCCGTTCACCTGCTCCAGATGCCCAGGGCCCAGGTTGCTCTGTTCTGGCTTCTGCATTTCTGTTAGGTTGTCTGGGGGGTCCCAAGGTCCCAGCCCCTTGCCAAAGAAGGCGTCCGCAAGCTGGGCAGCAGCAGGTGAGACTCTCCCAGAAGGCAGCTCCAAGGGTGGCCCCTGGGGCTTTGGGGTCCCTGGCTGGGTAGGTGTGAGCTGGCCCTCAGAGGGGAGCTGGGGGCTGGGGGCAGGTAATTGTGGGGAAGGTTTCTTTGGCTCTTGGGGGCTGGAAGGTGGTGGTGTGGGATGGACAGGGCCGAGGACTGGCCCTGCTGATAAGGCTCCTTGTGGGGCAGGGAGCCGGGGTGGGCCCTGAGGTCGAGGCCCTGCCCCTAGCTCCTGGAGAGGGCCTGCTTGGGATCCAGGGAAGCTCCCAAGCTGGGGTTGGCGGCCTAGGAGGCCCTGGAGGGGAGAGGGCTGGGTCCCCGGCTCCTGGTAGGGTGGGGCCTGGCGCACAGCCTGGCTCTGCTGCAACTGGCGCTGCATAAGAAGCGCTTGTAGCTGCTGCTGCTGCTGGGGACTCAAATGGCGCAGCTGTGGGTTTTTGGCCAGAACTCCCTGGAGCTGTGCTCGAAGCTGACCCACTGTAGGCATGGCTCCTGCCCCACCCTGAGGGACAGGTCCTGGTTTGGGCGGCAGTGGCCCTATGTTACTTTGCATGGGCCTCTCTAGCCCAAGGGTATGTTGGGGACCCAGAAAATTCTGCTGCTCCCCTAAGGAAACAGAGGGTTGGGACAGCAGGTGGGGCACAGAGGAGGCCGCCTCAGCTGCTCCGCTGCCTAGCTGCCCGTGACTTCCACCACCTGCTGTGTGGAGTAAGTTCACTTGCTGCCGCTGCTGTCCTGGGAGCCTCAGGGGGGGCTGGAACTGCAGAGAGTTGGGCTGAGGCTGGGCCTGGGGTTGGACAAGCAGGACTTGAGAGTCACCAGAGAGTGGGGGCTTTATTTCTCCTGGTTCAGCGGCCACGGATTCGGGTGTAGTCCCTGCTGTCAATGGGCCTCCCTGATGTGTTGAGGGTCCCTCAGTGACCTCTGGAGGTAGAGCCGTCTCTACAATGCCTTGTTCCTTGCTAGTCAGGAGGAGGGGTGGGCCCAGGGCTCCAGGGCTCGAATAGTGTTGAAGAGGCTTGGCTGGCATGCCAGGGCCTAGTGTCGCCTGCTGTTGCTGCTGTTGAGGAGACAATAAAGTTCGACTCTGGTTCAAGAGGCTCATCTGCTGCTGCTGTTGAAATTGCTGTTGCTGCACCTGCTGCTGCTGAAGTTGCTGCTGCTGCACCTGCTGCTGAAGTTGCTGCTGCTGCACCTGCTGCTGTTGAAATTGCTGCTGCTGAAATTGCTGCTGCTGCTGTTGCTGTA